GAGCGGGTTAAGTAGGTAATCCGTCGAAAGTTAAAATTCGGTGGGGGAGCGAGGGTCGCAGCAGGGGAGTGAGCATTTTTGGGGGTGAAATGGTTGGGGGGGGGGGGGGGGGGGGGGGGGAGGACAACTTAACGCTGCGGACACGAGGTAACGGACCAAAAACATATCATGTCGTAGTTCAGATGATATTCCACACATGCGTATGCTACCTCTATCGTGTACAACGCCGTTGAGACGGATGCCATGTCGGGAAGTGCCAGGTGCCAAAAAACACGCCTTCGTAGGATACACCACACACATGTCGTGGCCACATGTGGTAAACAGAAGGTCGGCTGCAGGAGAGGAGTGTCATCCACACGTGCAACAACAGAAGTTCGGACACGGATGAGAGGCGCAAAATTCACACAGCCGGCCGGCACCAGCTCTCCACCGTGCACACGATGCGCGGGGACTCACCGGTGTTGAAAGACACCTCGCACGTGTCGAGCACGACCTTGGACAGGTACGATGCACGGAGCCCCCCCCCGTCGGTGAACGCCGTGTTCCCCGTCACGCGGCACCCGCTGGCGGCCAGAGAAGCGTCCACGCTGCTCACCCCGCCGCCCAGCTTCGATATCGATATCGCATGACGACACCGACGAACGGTGAAAATGCGAGCGGGGCAACACGGTAACGTACAAAACAAAAGAGACGGGTGATGATGAAGAACAATACGAGATGCTGCTGCGGGTTCAGTCACTATTAATAGTATAGTAGTGTTGGTGGTTTTATCTAGAGAGTAGTGTTGGTGTTACATTGCAGTTTACCTCGAGTTTTCATATTTAGTTTGGGGGAGGACACGCGTATACACGTATGTGAAATGGTGATGGTAATTGACACGCGTGCATCCCACAGTGTTGGGCGCACAGGGTAGCCTCTCGTAGTGGTGTATTTTGTTTGCGGCCGACAGCAACGACAGCCGCGTCAACGTTTTTATATGCAAGTTTGGGATCGGTTGCAGATGAGACGCACAGCAGTATCCACAGCAGTGTCACGTCCTGCGGGGCCCCTATATCAGAGGCGATGTTGACAGCGTGGATTATTTCGTACTTTTACCCAGAGGTGAATGAGGAACAGCAAGATGACAATGAGGACGCACTATGCAGGAATAATCAGGACGAAACTCTGGCGAGCAGTGTCGCTGTCGAAATCACGTTCCTCCAGCCCCACTTGAGCACGGTGGAAAAAACGAAATGGGATATGTACGCATACGTGCCAACATTCAACGAAATATTTCAACATCACCACGCATATATACCAACCGCATCGTGCCAGAGCCGCATGCATAGCCCATGCCATGACACTCGCACCCTCACACACGGTGCCCCACACAATGGCCTTTTACAAGCGCTATACAGTAGCGGGTACGGTTTAGGAGGAAATATTTAAGAGAAAGTATCGATTGAAGAGAGTAAAACTGGCTTGTCGCGACCAAATCGGCTAAGAAAGATGAGTTTTTGTCATGTTTCTGAGATTTCCTCTCAAATCGAACCCCTCAAAAAGAGTCATACAGCCGTCACACACCATGCCCGGCGCAGCAGACCGTTGCTGCACAGCGGTCCCCGATCACGTGCCAGGCCCACCAAACTTCACAAATCACCCACGAATTACGTACAGCGAACGAACGCGTTTATCCATGTGCAAAAAAAAAGTGAACTACAATTACACGACACCATGACATATTTGCAACAAACAGGTATCAGGAGTGTACCCGGTACTTGCGGTGGGTACATTGCTCGCCAAGAAACAGATTGAGTTGTGTGTGCAGCAAGACAACGCGCTAATAAGTAACGCTTACGGACGACGTGATGCAACACGAGTGAAATGCCCTCCACAAACTCTTTTAGGTGGTTGAGCCGAGAGCGTCCGTCTTCCATGGTCTTCAAAATGCTACGGTTAAAGATAAGTTTTCTCGAGCAAAAACATGTTCACGGTTCAAGATAATATTTTCTTCAAACAGTAGCGTACACTGTATTAGAGAAAGCCCGAGTTAAGGGAAAAATAGGGGTTGGTCACGCCCCTCTCGTAAATCGTATAGCCGCTGCTAAAGGTTATTTTCAGCGCACTGAGACTGGCGCAATTTCATTGGCCATGCCAACACTACAGACACGCAACACACACCCGACCAGTCCTTTATCATGATAACACTTGTACGCATCTGTCATGGCACACACGCGTGTCTTCAGCCGCCCCGAGACGGCCGCCATTTCATTGGTCGCGCTAACATAAAAAGACACACAAGCACAAACACCAGCACACCTGAGCCGTGTTTCCGTCCACCACGCAGCCCTCCAACACCACGTCCGCCCCCGTGAACGCCCTGACGCCGCCGCCATCCGACCCGGCCTCGTTCCTCGAAAAGTTGGTCCCGGTCCCTACGAAGTACGCATCGGCGACGCTAACCCCGCCGCCGTCGCCGCCGCACGCGTTCCTCGTCACGGTGCACCCGTCTGCCACCACGACCCTGGCCCCGTCCGCGCTGACGGCACCTCCGTTGCCGCCCGCCCGGTTCCCGGACATCTCGACCGAGACGGCGGTGACGGCGGCCCCGCCGTAGGCGTGCACAGCGCCGCCGTCAGTGCCGGCCTCTCCCCCCGAAAGAACCAGCGGCGTTGCTGTAGTTCCTACCCCTGATGCGGCGGCGGCGTCAGGGAGGAGTTCGACGTTGGTGTGGGCGTCGGCGGCGACGACGTGCCCGCCGGTGTCGGTGGCAGTGTTGGTTGAGAAAAGGCCTCCGGTGACCGTGGCGTTGGTTCCCAAGGAGAAGAAGACGGCGCCCCCGCTGATGTCGGTGGGGCAGAGCATGTTCGTTCGGCAGAGGCGGGGGGGGGCGGGGGGGTGTCGAGGGGAACGGGGGCGCTTGTGTGCGGAAACCAAGATGGTGTCGATGTTGATCCTGCACATTAACTATTAGACATGCACGCTACAATACACGTCCGCAAGTCTTCGCCCGATCACTTATTTTCTTCCTACTAACTGACGCGAGAACGTCGCCAGCACCACCGACAACATCGAAGACGCACCTTCTTCCACCAGAAAGAAACGCGGCCACGCCGTGCTTGCGCCAAGTCTAAGCCCGGTCACACCCTCCCCCTGCTACACAACACCACCACCAGCAAACAACGCAGACGCACCTTCCGCCAGAAACAGAGTTACCGACAAATGCCACCCCGTCAAGCTCGCCCGTTGACGCGCTAAGGAACATCCCGCCCCCCCCGAAGCCCGCGGTGTTGGCGCCAACGTGCGACGCGTTCATGAGGCAAACCGATTCCTCGTAGATGGACAGAGCGCCCCCGTAGACTCCCGCCTGGTTCGACGTGAAGGCAACGTTGGTAAGCGTTGCTGTGGAAGAGCCTTCTGCGAGCAGGGCGCCTCCCACCTGCAGCAGCACGACGGAGGGGGCACGATCGATCCAGAGAGGAGAGGAGAGGAAGGGGGAGGGGGTGTACTCACGTAAACCGCATGCCGTAGTCGTTAGACCATTGACCTCGCATCCCTAGTATACAATGCTACCGGGACGGAGCGATGTGCCGGGTTTTCGCCGGACGGGAGAGGGTGTGTGCATGTGTGTGTGTGACAAGGAGAGAGCGGCAGGATACACGAGAGAGAGACCGAGAGAGAGATGCGCTTGGCTGCAGGCACATTGGACCCGACACCCCCCACACCCCCGGCAAAATCGAACTTTGCCCTACAAGAGACGCAAGTGTTCCAGACCGGATGGCTACTGTACATACGCCAACACCGCAACAACGCTTCGCTGGAGTTAGTTGCCGCATACTCGCAAAAACAACCCGCCCGAGCCAACAACTCCACCTAGACTATACCTTCAACCGCATCCGCAACCGTTCTCACCGCTCCCCCGTTAAGGGGTAAAGTTGCAATCCAAAAAAGTGGCGTTGGACCCATCCGAAATAATCACGGCGCCCCCCCCCTCGAGTGGATCGGTCTCCACGTCGTAACGGTCGTCGTGGAAAGCTTGGTTGTTCTCGAAGTTGCAGTCGGTCGCAGTCAGCCTTCCGGGGGGGGGGGGGGTCGAACAGACAGGAAACAGTTAAGAGGGGGACCGACAGGTTGTACGAAATGTCGAGGAGGGGGAAAAAACAGAAGCAATTGCTGCGTGTTGAGAAGATGGGGGGGGGGTCACACGCCTCGTGGAGAAAAAAAAAAAAAAACGCCGGCATGGAAGGACGGAAACAACCAACGCCTGCGATACCAACAAAAAAAAACCTTGTAGGTAACGGAAAGCCTCGGTTACTGTTTGGGTGGCGCCTTCATACGGTACCACGGATGCTCAGAGGGAACTGATTCTCCCGGGTTCTACATATGCTGGCCTAGCCCGAAATAACGCTGACGGGAACGAACATACTACCGCCGCTGAAGCCCCCTCAACGGAAAGAGGAGTGCACCCCGGCGACCGTCCGCCGCCCCCGTGTAGCGAGGTGTGCTTGATTTAGAGCACGCAATGTTACCCCCGCGGCTCAGCATTACTTGCATCAAATCACTTCTGATTTCTCTTGACAAGAAAAAAAACTGCCGGCGCTTCACAACAACGCAAGCCCCCTCCCGCCCCACCAGCTTCTGGTTTATCCTTGTGAAACGCATCTAGCCTGGGTCGGCGAAACCCCCGCCTATCGCTCCGTCCGGGCATTGTAGGGATGCGAGGTCAATTGTGTAACGACTAAGGCATGGACGACGGCTACGAGTGCACCCTCCTCTCGACGTAGGAAAGGCACAATTGGCCATCGGTGATCGGTCCTGCTGGAACAATCCTCTCGAGGACGCGACGCGTGGTCAACGGTCTAACCGCAGAGGCATGCAAAATATACGACCCCCCTCAACTCACTTCCCTGCCGACACGTATGACCCTCCTCAACTCACGTCCCTGCCGACACTGACACCGCGCCCCCCGAGCCAGCCCCGCTCTGGCTGGAGATGAAGTTGTTCGAGAAGGTTGTCCCGCTCAGGGACACCGCGGCCTCCTCCTCCACCCTGATCGCGCCCCCCGCGAACTTGTTGCTGTTGCCCTCGAACAGGCAGTCGGATATAGACACGCGGCTGCCCTCAACCTCCAGAGCTGCTCGCCCGCGGGGGAGCGTTTGACAGAGTGTGCGTGTGTGGGAGATCAACATGGGGGTGGCGAAACCTTGTACGCGACATCAGGGAAGAAAAAAGTACGAGCGTGAAAAGCAACCGTGGCCATTCTCCCTGCCACTGAGGCGTCCCAACATGTTTTCATTCAGAGAGGAACATGGGGTGGTAGGCGACGCCAGCTGTAAAAGAGAACGAAGATAAAAAACAAGAGCAATCCCCCCCTCCCCCACGAAAACATGGTGAATTCCACCAAAAAAAAAAACTCACCTCCGCCACCGTTCCACGCAAAGCCGCCGGTAAAGTTGGACGACGACAACGCGGCGACTCCGTTGGATTCCAATACCGCACCGCCTCCGAAAAAACCCGCCACGTTGTCGTGGAAAACCGTGCGCGAAACCGTCAGCACGTAGTCCGAGCTGATGTAAAGCCCCCCCCCGTCTGTCGCAGAGTTCCCCTCAAACAGGGAGTCGGTGATGGAGATGGTCGTCGTGGCGTACGACCCAATAATTTTCACTCCTCCGCCGCTGTTGGGCACGTTGGGCAAAGGGGGGTGACGCAAGGCGCGAGGACAAGGGGAGGTTAACCCGAGAACAAGGGGGGGTTAACCCGGAAGGGGGGGGGACGCGAATGCACGACGGCGGATAGAGGGGGTAGGGGGGAAATACAACGGCAGGCGAAGCGAGCACTACTTTGTACACAGCAGGGCACACAACGAGGGTCGAGCGGAGGTGTGTGTGGACGACACTACCGTAACTTTTTTGGCATTTGGTATCACACGGAGTGGTTGGATGCCTACACGATACACACCTTTTTCTGGCCGCATGTCGTGCGGAAAGATTGAATGGCAACACCTTACATACCTTCTCCTGGCAGCGAATCGTGCTGATCACTTGAATGATCCACCATGTACGTTTCTCTGGCAGCAACAGTTCGTACAGATTGCTCGAGAGGCCAACACCGCTTAGAAAACCAACGGTAGCGCATGCAGGAACACATGAGGGGAGCATCATGGCAGGAACGACTCGCCGCTGCGGCAACAGCTGGAGACCACAAAAGAAAGAGCTTCACTTAGTCGGTGTGTACAACGACAACGATAGCGATAACGCCTTCATGCATACTGGGGGTAGCTGTTGATACCCAGAAAAAAAGACAGACAGAGAGAGAGACAGAGAGAGAGAGAGAGAGAGAGAGAGAGAGAGAGAGAGAGGCGGACGGAAAGAGAGACGGAGAGAGTGAGGGAGAGAAGCACACAGAGACAGGCCATAGAGAGAAAGAAAAAAAAACGGGCACTGCGGCATACTCCTGCAACGTGGCTCGACTACTATCTTCCCGCACTATTCCTCGTCGTGACTGACTCACAGTCCAAACGTCCTGTCCCCGAAGTAATAGTTGTCCAGGAAGGAGCTGTCCGAGACCGTGAGGTTGGAAGCACCCTGTCGCGCGCACGGAGCCCCCAATGCAGCAGCAGTCAGACAGCAAAAGCGACAACAACACGTTGGCACATGGACATTCGATGCCAAGCCAAACAGAGACAGCGGTTCGTGTACAGCACTACAATATATAGTAGTACCGCACAACCACCATGTAGGCTTGGCATCGTAGTCGGGGGGCCGGTAGTTCCTAGCACCTGGTTGGTGTACAGGAACACGTACCCAATACATAGGAATCGCAGCCACAGGGCCCCCGTACTTCCGTAGTAGTACCCTCCCCATCACAAGGTAAGAGACGGTTGGCGCACAGCAGCACATAACCATCACATAGGGATCGCAGCCAAAGCCCCCCCCAGTCCCTCCGTGGCACCCCCGCACCACACGGGAACGACACGAGTCTCCTCACACTCCAAAAGTTAGCGATCACTGCCATGCGCAAACACAATCCCTTCTCCTACCACCTCCCGCGACACACCTAAAAACGACAATATCCTTGTCCTAGCGGGGAGCTACCGGAAGGAAAGCTCACCGAGAGAGAGATGCCGCCCCCGCCGTAGTAACTCGCCGTGTTGTTGACGAGCTGCGAACCCCGCACGACGCCCACGGTCGCGTTAACGCCGTGCACGCCCCCCCCCTGGTCCCCCGCCGAATTCTCCAACAACGTCGAACCGTCCAACCAGACCGTCGACCTCCCCTCGAGCACCACCCCCCCTCCCTCCACCTCCGCCCTGTTGCCCTCCAGCGAGCACCCGACCAGCACCAACGAGCAGCCGTCGCCCTGCGTCGAGAAGGCTCCCCCCGACTGCTGCGCGTGGTTCCCGGACACCACGCAGTTATCCAATTCCGCGGAGCCCCCTCCCCCGAGGGCAAGAGCGCCGCCCCTCCCTTCCAGGTAAAAACTTGACGCGGCTTGGTTCCCCTCGAAGCTCGAGTCCACCGCGACCACCGAGCATCCCTCCGCTTCCGCCCTGATCGCGCCGCCGTTTCCGCTCGCGCGGCTGGCGTTCCTCAGGGTAACGCCTTCCAGCCTGAGCGAACTCCCCTCGCCCAGGTCCACCAGGCCGGTGACCCCCCCCCCGTCTATAGCCGCGGGGCTCCCGTCCGCCCCCGGTTCCCCAAGAATCCAGAGCGAGGACGCCGCGGCGACCACGAGGGGCTCCGCGAGAGCCACCCCCCCCGGCCCTGTTACGGTGTATGCCCCCCCCG